TAAAAAAATAAACAAATAGATACATTCATCCTATATGCTGTCCTACATGACAATTTTTCGTCATATGTGGTGTCCTACGTGTATTATGTTACATAAGACGTTGTGTGTCTTCTTATTCTCTATCTAACTCACTTGTACTTTTTCACATTTTCCTATGGGAGCTTTGTTTCATTGTTCTTATTGTAAAATTTTCATTGAAATTGCTCCAGTCTTGATGATGATTTTCTTTTCATGTTGACTTTTCATATCGCTCCGACTTCTCTCCTTCGGCCTTCCCTTCCTCCTCATTAGACGAGTTTGTGGGAACGCAATCCAACAAGTAAATCCATCCAGGGTTAGGTAGAACAAAGGAACTTTCTCCGAATTGATTGGTTGATATTCCATTTGCATCATTATTTAGGACTTTCTCATGACCTCTTTTTCATAATGCTCTTCCTTATGTCCCATGGCTTTACGAGTTAAAAAATAACAAAGAACGTCATAAGTGCATTAACTTCATTTGTAATAAAAAAAATATTATTTCTACATATAAAGATATTCATCATTTTTTCAATCCGTACAAGGTAATGTGAACTACATATATTCTTGGGTAAATCTTTACAAACTTATAACAATGTTAAGTTTTGTATCAATTGTCACAAAACGCAACCTCGCGCAAAATTCTAGATCCGCTTTTGTTTAGCTCTCCTCTAGTGCTTTTAAATTTAAAAAAATCATAAATCCATAAAAAAAAAAGTTCAAACATTTCAATACCTATATCAGTAGAGACATATAACTCACCTTTTACAGAGAGATCACATCAAAATGTAGTTTGTGTGAGTCTTCATTTTCTCTATTGCAGCTTTGATTGTTTAGTTTGTGTGAGTATATTGCATTGAGTAAAACTCGTCCAGGTGTACATGGCAAGAAATGAGACAAGATGCCCTCAGGACTCAGGAAGAGGAAGTGAAAATAGTACAATCGGATCTCATGCCAATGACGTGGACAAGAAGACAAGAGGAGACAAGGTGTTAGGAGATTCAGTTGTGCGGAGGAGCCTCATATGAATTTGGTCCTATATCACATGAAAACAACACGAGAACATGAAACATGTAAAGCTATGGCATCTAGACCTAGCTCAACCCCAAAAAGCTAGCTCATGAGGGGGATTGTCCAGGTTCATATAAGTAGACCACCGGTTTATTCTCCAACCAATATGGGATCTAGCCACTCTAACTAAACCACATAAGTGTCGTAAAACTCCAAGTAGATTAGGGATCAAGACAATAATAGTTCCAAATATATAGGAAATTCAGCTTGTTCAACTATCTCCTATTTCTTCTTCTTCTACTTCTTCTCTTGATCGTCCAATTTCTATATTTAGTGAGAGATTGCAACATCGTTACTTTAAGATATCATTCAGCATTATTAAAAAAAGGTAGCTTATGTTATAAAGATTGAGGACAACAATGTTTCTTTGCTGCATATACCAGAGTCAAAGGAACATTTCTTGACTCAATCTCATTAGCATATTCACCTTATCCTTCATATTACCGGAGACCATATAAGGAGTCCATATTCCCATCCCACAGACGGTGTGGGACTCCAACAATAATGTTACAATCTTTGAAAATCTTTGATTACTATATATGTCCAGGAAATTCTCGAATACACTTTCCTCCTCAGTCGGTGCTTGCTTCTTAATTTCAAGATTTACAAGAAAGGCTAGAGCATGAAAGGAAATTTTTTGGATCGAACATAATTAAATAGAGAAAAACTTCCACTAGTATGTCCACGTCCAATATAATATTTTTTGTAACCACTAACCCTTGCAAAATGACAAGCCACACCTCTACATACTTCACTCTTCCGATATAATATTTTAGGTAGGAATATACCTTTTAACTTGACCTCATTTCACATAAAAAGGGGTGTTTGGTGGTGAACTTGCCGGATCCCAACGGAGCTCCGAGAAACTTGTCACTGGAAAATTATGAACACTTAAAGAAATTTCTATAAGACTAAAAAATCTGAAAATTACACTCATTCTCTAAAATCTTATCCACCACCACTAACTTAATGACCAAGAAATTCTTTAAATAGAAAAATGTAAATTGTCATAGTACAATACCATTATCTTAAAATCGTGGGTAAAACCATCTGTTAATAAAGTATCTGTGTATGCAATCTTATCTGTATTTAAATATATTTCTAGAGTGACGTTAAAAACACAAAAAATGAATATTAATAAAGTAACAAATAAAATGAATATTAACAAATGTATCGAATAAATGAATGGCATGTAAAAATGCAATTTAACATAAAATAATGATTTAGGGTGTGTTTGGTATGAAGGAAAATATTTTCCATGGAAACTATTTTCCTAGAAAATGTTTTCTTCACTACAAGAAAAATGACCCATAGCGAGGGGACATTTGGTTATTAAGAGCCCTAATCCGGTCGCTAAAGGTATTTAACGACAGGAATAAATCCGGTCGTCGCCCGTCGTTAAAAGTTAAAAGATTAGCGACGAGATTCTGTCCGGTCGCTAAATAAACTTTTAACGTCGACATAAAGTCCAATCACTATATGTCCTTCAATAGCGACTGCATTTTCCCTACGCTAATTAAAAAATTCGGTTGTTAAAAATCATTAGGAGCAACTCACATCCAACCAATACATGTATTTTTAACGACGAAAACACCTTTCGTTAATTGTATGTTGCTGAGATTTTTCGTCGCTAATGGTCATTTCAAAATATTTTCGATAAGCCATTCATAAAACAGTCTAAAATACCACATCTAAATTTCTGATTTTATGAATATTGTACGACTAAACTAATAATATTAACAATAATTTCAGACATCCAAATATAAAATAAAAATTAAATAGATATAAAACTTCATCATTGATAAAAATAAACTAAAGAAAGTTATATATCCCATATCCAAATTGTGTATAATACTTTAATCAACTCCTAATTTAAAAAAATGAAATTTGCAACATATATATACATAAGATAGTTTTTTAAAATCCTTGTGAACTTCACCTTGCTCCTTACTTTCTTGAATGATAAATTCTTTCACTTTGAAATTCTTGAGCTGTATAAAAAACAAGTGTATTAGTTTGATAACAAGTAATTATACTGAAAACAACTGCACAAACTAAAACAGAGTATGGCTCACTAATGAAAACAATTATTGTCTAACTGCTAATAGGAAATAACCAATATCCAGGGATTATGTAGACATAATAGGTGATGCACCAGTGCTCCCAACTACTGAACTGATATGGAATAGGATTGCATTACCAAAGCATAGGTTTATACTACAACTAGTTGTTCGTGGCAGACTGCTAACTAAGGTGAGACTGGTGAGAATTGGCATATCGTGTGATAATAATACTTGTGTTTTGTGTGATGGGAACTGGATAAAGGATGTAACACATATCTTCTCTAAATGTAACTGGCTGAAGAGAGTATGTGATGCAATACAAACCTGGATTGAGTTAAGAGTACAGAACAGATGTGTGGATGGTGCATTATTGCAAATTAAAGTAAACTGCAATAGATGGAAGCCGTGTACGGAGCTACTATTTACAATATCTGGATGGCCAGGAACAAGAAGAATTTTCAAGGACAAAATGTGAATATCAATCATGTTATGCAGCAAGTTCAAAATGTAATTAGGAAGAGGGTTAGATATGGTTACTGTTGCTGCACACTACTAGTACTACTGTATGGTGCTATGGAAGTATAAAATTTCAGAACACAAAAAAAGTCGATTAGCATTATCTAGGTTCATTACAGGTATACTAATACAACAATTGAAGAGTACAGGAGACGTAATACATGAGCAGAAACTATCACAGTTAGCATTAGTTTCTCTTCTCTTTATGAGCCTATCTTCTTCTCACAAAAAGTATGATAATGACAGTTGTTCATCCACATAAATCTACGTTCTTGTACAAACAACGGAAGATAAATTATTTTTCTTAATTACATGCAGTGCTACAGAATAGGGCATGGATAATGATCAAAATTATGATTATAAAACAGAACCAATATCAAGAAGAGAGTATTGGGGAAGTGAAAGTGATAGAAAGATGAAATATTCTAAAAAAAAAGTGATAGAAAGATTATGGAAATAGCAGAGACTTCTGTGTAAGGTTGATCTACTTTATACAAAAGAAGCAGAGATGGAGTAGACTACTAATACACAGGCTAAGGCAATACTAGAGGCTTGTAGACACTATAGCTAGAGTAGACTACTAATACATAGGCAAAAGCTAAGGCAATCAAAGTCTTGTAGACACTGTAACAAACAAACTACAGGAATTTGACTCTATAGACAAAATCAGTGCTCCTAAAAAAAATATGATGGAAGGGATATGATACAAAACATGGAGCATAGAATGAGATTCCTCATATTCTAGTAGCTAGACAACCATTGATATACCACATTATGTGGAAAATGAATAAACTACAAGACACTCTAGCTAACCAGGCTTTAAATGAAATGTATAACACGTGGGTTTCAAGAAATGATAAATGAAGGGAGAAAACTCATAAACATAGATAAATTACAATGCTCTCATATCAGAATTGCAACATTCTCATGGTAATAAAGAGACATCAATTCAAGGATATTTAGACACAAATATTTCAAAGAGTAGCATCCAATCAAAAAGAACACCATACAATTCATCTACATATACAAAACAACCATTAAACTTTACAACCTTATTTCAGCTGAAACACCAAGAGAGGGAAAGAATCGAAAGAAAGGAAAGTAGAAATACACAATATAGTAAAGGCGGAGGGGTATCAATGTAGATTTACTGATGCAACAACAATCTAAGGGGACACATCCTCTGAGGTTCAACAAGTAATAAGCCTACCACATAAGGAGATGAAAGAAGAGCCATTAGACGTCCATTGTTGAACTAAAAGAATTTCATATAGCATTGCAATCATTTCATCATAGAGAAAAAAATCAATCTACTAACCTGTTAATTGGCGGTGATGTAGGTTCACCAAACACTACACTTGCAAGATGGTGTTGATGTAGGTTCACCAAACACTACACTTGCAAGTTGTTCATATTTTCTCTCGAGCTCATCCATGCGTTGACATTTATTCTCCAACTCATCCATGCGTTTTTTTAATAATTCATTTTCTTTCTCACTTGCGTTCAACTTATCTAGCAATGCAGCCTTTGAAGAGTTACCACCTTTCAACTCCTTAGATGTTATCCCACCTCCAAATCCAATCACATGACTCTTACGTTGAAGCCCAAAGCACTTTTCGACGACCTCAATATTTGTAAGAGATGAATCAGATTGAACCAGTTTCTGGATCTCAACCTATTAAACACAAGATAAATGAAAATAATAAAGCACATAAAGTAAAATGATGTAAAATGACTTATCACTAAACATACATATTTTGCATTTGTTTCAGGTTCGACAAGCTTGTTATCCTTCTTACGTGTCTCGAAGAAGATAGTGTCCATGTTTGGTGGCTTACCGTCTTTTCCTCCCTTCACATATAAACAAACAAGTAAAATAAATCAATTTAACAAAAAATAGGATTTCTAAAGAGTTTCTAGCATTACTTACCAATTCATAAATTATCTCTCTAATAGGCTTACTACTCATACGATGAGGCATACTCAGCTTAGACCTATTCACTGAGTTTCTTGTACTTGTTTCCTATATTAATAAAACACCATGAAAATTATAGTCAAACACTAAAACTAACGTTAATAAATAGTAGCTATGAAGTCATACCTTAAACTTGTTACTTAGAAAATGCTCTTTAACTAGCCATTCCTAATCACCCTTGTCTACCTCTTTTGGCACATCTTTTAGAGCATCGCGAAATGTCTTAGATTTCACATTCTTGTGTAGTGATCCTCTCCAATTATTCCATAACCTTCGCATATGTTGCAAGACATGTTCTTTTTGATCATTCATTTCGTCACTGACAAATTTATCCTACAATATTTCACCAGTATCATTTTTCATGTTGTTAAGAAAGATGGAATATTAGATTCAGGAAGGTTTTATAAGCACTAAAAATGTTAAAGCATGACATATGTTTAGGGCCAACCGATCTGGTCGATTGAGCCTAAACAAGCTTTGTGGATTTTCAAAGTAAAGCAGTAGAAATAGGACATTTGCAGCTTGTGTGTATCATATTTGGCATGAAAAAACAAAATGATCTTCCAGCACCAAATGAATGTAACTGAAAAGCTCACTAGACAAATTATCCGGAGATGCACTTTAAGGTCACATGAAGAGCAAACTAGCACAAAGACTTGAGCAGTTAAGTTTCTATCCATAGAGTAATGAATTTCTTTATTTTTGGTATCATAGGCTAGTCAATAGTAGAAAGTTTTGTGGTCTGGAAACAGGTAGTTCATATGTTGTAATGGCGTTTTACATTTCAGCGTTTTTTTATACTAGTAGATAACTTATACTTGGTTAATAAAACTATATATTATGCCAAAGAGAAACTATAGTGGGAGAGTTTCATTAAGGGCACACTACCCTTGAAGTACTTGGGGGTTCCTCTGTCTTCCAAGAAACTACCAATAGCACATGTATGCCTCTTATAGATAAAATTACTGAAAAAATTGAAATGTTAAACAACTAGACTCGTCATGTATGCTGGCAAATTGCAGCTTATATAGTCAATAGTTTTTGGTGTCCAAACCTATTAGGCACAAATTTTCATCTTGCCCAAAAGGATCATGAAACTTATAGATAGAACATGTAGAACTTTCCTATGGACAAGCAATCTAATAGCTTCAAAAACAACTTTGGTCTCTTGGGTAAAGAGTGTCACTATAAGACTGTTTAGGGACTCAACGTAGCACCTAAAAACTCGAAACAGGGCTGCAGTTTTGGATCAATTATGGGCAGTTGCTAACAGAAAAGATTGTTTGTGGGTTAGATGGATGCACTCTTATCATTTGAAACATTATACTTTAGATAGCTTCTCAATCTCTAGGGTTGTAAGGAAAATTATTGAATGTAGGAAAGCTAATCATTAATGCAACTATACTCTAATGTGATATGGAAAATAGGATGAACATTATGGTGGTGAAGAACAAGTTTCTGATTAAAAACACACAATGAGAGAGTACACACATATCACAATTTTCTAGTTAATTTTTTTTTAAAAAGTATTGTTGAAAATTCTTACCGTAACGGCATTCCACATATGTTCTAGCTTGTCCTTTTCGATGTCCATCCATGAGTGTACCCGCAATGGACACATATTACGATCACGAACTAAAATCCCCAAGTGTCTGACAAAGATGTATGATGATTTCCAACAACTCGATTCTGATAAAAAGTGACTCTCAATTTTTCACCTGGTTTGAGTCGTCCAACATTTTTACAAATGTTCTTTCCTCTAACTTTTTTGGCTCAGCAGATTCACGAGGACCTACTATATAATACAAGTCAGACATAAAATATACCAGATTATTACACTAACAAAAAGATAAATGACAATGCGAGATAATAAATACTTATTTCATTTGTCTGGATATCTTGCATGACTTCAACTTCTGGAGAGAGGGGACCATCATCCTCATTTGGATCAAAAGCAAAAGGTACAACAATAACATTTTGTGCTGGCTCTTTTTGATAAGTTGATGCTTTTAAGTTTTTATTTTGACCAATTGGAGTTGTTTCTTCAGCCATTACTCTCTTGAAGCCCATAGATTTTAAGCTTTTTCCTCGTCCCCTTGCTAAGGCACCAGGTGGAATGCATGCCTGCATTTTAGTCTTGAAATTTGATCCCATTTGGGAGTTCTGAAATTTTGTTGGATTCATTTCATCCTAATACAAAAAAAAAAAAAAAAAGTAAAGTAATTGTAAGTTACCCAATAGGATAAAAATCATTCAACAAGTCCTTAGTGTTTTTTTTTTGTTAAACTGACTGGAGGTAGTTTGTGTCGTATTCCTGCAAAAAGTTACAAAGAGGGGGTCTTTGCCAGGCCTTAGAATATAACGCTTGACTTGTAAACTAATTTAGTCAATAAGCCAAAAAAAAGTGTAGGATTTATTAACAAAGTTTTCTACTCTACCTAAAAAAGAAACAAACTTAACTAACAAAAAAAATTTCATTATCATAACGTATCATGAGACTAGGGAGTTGACACTTATCCAATTGGTAAGCTCCCTTGACATTTTTGGATACAGAGTGGTAGGAGTCAAATGTAGCCCAATGTCTTGACTTGAAGCTAGCTACCAAAGCCATCTGCCACCTCATTTGCATTTCTGTTGTAATGCTTGATATTAACATTCATCAAGCTCAAATGGTTCAGAATCTTTTATGTTATCCTTTTTAATCTGAGGTTCTTGATGGTCTTGTTTTGAAGCATGATTGTCCTAATTTGAGAGTCTAGTTCTAGGTCAGTGTGTTCAAGTCTGTTGCACAATTCCACCCTGTAACTGACTGCAATTGTCTTAGTCATATTGTCACTATTGCATTTCACTAAGAGAACAAATGCCAGAATGAGATCACCTTCTCATTACTTAGAATACCTCTTATTCCTTCCTTCCCGGAGTCATGTACATAGCTCCCATCAGTTAAGTTTCACCCTATTAGACATGGGTTTCTCCCAGCTTACTTTTTTGCATATAAAATTCTCAATTTCTCTATCAGATCACATATTAAGTTGTACCAAGGCTAAATTTTCAACATGGCTTCACTTAAATCATGTTACTTCCAAGTGACAAGGTATAGTACTTAACAACAACTATGTTCTTTTTTCTTTTAAAAAAAGGTAAAGTTGTGCTGGCAACCACCAAAAAGATTTACATCAGTGACTAAAAGATGAAAGTCTATGCTGAACTATAAAGAAGTAAAAAAAATCTAAAATCTGCATCATCTGTACTATCCTCTTTACACAGAAAAACAGAATGTTCTCATGCAATACCATTTAATCTTTTGTACTGATTCTAGAGTATTGCCTTTTGTTTCTTTCACTCCAAAAAGTCCACCATATACAGGAGAGTACTTAAAGTGAGGTTAAAACTCATCTAAACTATCATACTTGATTCATGTTATCTTATTGGCAAAATTATAGGTACTTTGTGGCAACTGAACCGCACAAGACAACACCATAACAAAATAACTAATTCAGTTCTAGTAATAAGTTTTCATGAGGTTTTGTTTCTTAAAAACTTACCTAAAACATATCTTCTAGAGGCATCAAGGGCTTCTGTTCATGTAAGTTGTGAGTTAATTAATGACCACCTTTCAATATTCTCTAAGAGATGATCTACACCTTGCTAAATACTATACAAGAATTATTATCTAAACAGACACTAAGAACAAATCTGTAAAAATCAGTAAGAGAACAGTAAAGAAAATACTTTAATATAGAATCATATGTAAGAATCAATCAAAAAATCATGAAGTAAATACTTGAAAAGAGAAACCAAAACAGCAAAGAGTATTTTAGGATCCAATAAACACCATAGTAACAAATTGAGAACTCAAAAGTCTACATGAGTACACAGTAACAAAGTATATGGTATCTTTGGAAAAAATGCATTTTGTACGATTGAATGAATAAAACTTCAAAATTACTAATTTTGAAAATGTTAAGCCAAAATTGGGTGTTAACAACAAACATTTCCATCCTGGTTAAGAAACAGTTCAAGGAATAATGTGACAGAAATCTAGCTAAGCATAGCACCATAAAGGAAAAGAATGCCCCCTATCCAACATATTGTGCATCTAGATTACTAAGAAGAGGATAAATACCTATGTTGCTTGGCCTTTCCCAAAATATTGTCGCACACGTACCCAATGATATTTTTTATAAAACTTACATATCCGGAAGTTGCAATTGTTCGACATATCGAAGCTAATTGGACATACCGATTGTTTGCATTAGCTCATTAGCACATAACACCTAGAAATATTTGTCCAACATCTCTTCTATATTTCTCCGATGTTAGAAGCAACCTATTCGAAAAATACGGAAGAGATGACTCGAGAGATATTACTTAAGGGTTTTAAATTTATAGACACCATTGCTTTTGAACAGTATTCAGTCAATGAATTAGGCAAACCATATTCGGAAGGACAGGAAGAGAACATGAGACATGTAAATATATGGAATCTGGACCTAGCTCAATACCAAAAAGCTAGTTCGTGAAGGGGAAGTGCCCGAGTCCATATAAGCTGACCACCAATTCGTTCTCCAACCAATGTGAGATCTATCCCACGCTAACAAAACCACAAAAGTATCATGAAACTCCAAGTGTGTAGGAAATTCACCTTGTCCAACTATCTCCTATTTCTTCTCTTGATAGTCCAATTTATATATTTAGTGAGAGATTGCAGTATCGGTACTTCAAGATATCATCTAGCATTATTAAATAACAAAAAAGATCAATATGTTAGAAAGACTGGGGATGACAGTGTTCCTTTGCCTCATATACCAGAGTCAAAGGAACATTTTCCGACTCAATCTCATTAACATATTCACCTAATTCTTAATATTACCGAAGACCTTATAAGGAGTCCATATTCTCATCCCACAAACGATGTGGGATTCCAACAATAATGTTGCAATCTTCGCAAATCATTGATTACTATATATGCCCAGGAAATTCTCGAATACACTTTCCTCCTCAATCGGTACCTGCTTCTTTCCAGATCTACAAGAAAGGCTAGAGCATGAAAGGAAAGTTTTGTTCTTGATAATATATGGAACTTATGTTTTAAATTTAAGCTTATTTGGTGTATATTTGAGTGTTAGAATTTGAAGAACAAAAAGACTATCAGACAAATATGACTGAAATTTTTAACTTATTTTTACATGCATTTCAACCATACATGACAAGCACATATATACATCAACAAAGAAAATCTATATGATTTAAATTTGGCAAAATACATAAATTTGTACTTTAACTGGTCTCAACTAAAATCTATGACTTCCAATTTTGAAAATGCACAAGTAGACACTTAAATTTGTATAAAATTGATTAAGTAGACATATGCATAATACGTGAAATAATACACATAGGAAGTCACATAGAAATAATTTGGCCGTGTAGGATACATATATCTACTTGTTCAACTTTATACAGTTTAATGTCTATTTGTGCACACTAAAAATCCGCAGGTATAAATAAAAATTAAAGTCAAATGAAAAGGAACATTTTTCTATTATGCCTTTAAATTTTAATCAATGTTTACCTGTCCTTAAAAAAATGTTTAATTTAGCATAAGCCACATAGATAAAACTTTAGTTAAATAATATTCAATCAGAAACGTCCAAAGTAAGCCTTGGCAAGTCATATAAAACCTCAAACAAAGTGGTATGATATTGGTTTTTAAAAGGTCACAATTCAAAAAAAATGCATGAATCAAACGAGAATTCTCAACTTCTAGTCGCGTACTTCAGAACTCAGAAGTTGTTCCCAGCCCAAATAAACTTGCAAGAAAAATTCAAATTATCTTTTCTTTTCTTTTTCACTCTTTGTGGAGTCCCATGTTTTTTTGTTTTTGTCAAAACGTATTTTAAGGATTAATTTTGGTTACATATTTAGCTCAAATCCGTCTAAATTTTAGATTGATTACATAGGTTGTTTCCCAAATTGACCCGGTTACAAATTACAAAGTAATGGAGAGTACTTCTTTCTTTTGAATGTATGTGTCTTTGATTATTATTTAGAGAACTATAATGAGTAATTTTTTTTGTTGGTTGAATTGATAATTATTATGGCTTATCATAATTTTTTTATAATTTATAAATATGTAGAAAACAATCAATAGATAAATGATTTTACAAATATATTTACAGCATGCATCAATAAGTTTGACCCTCATATTCCGAATCAAGCATAGAAAAGTTACCAAGTTCTATAAGTAAAATGAGAAAAATTTAGTACATTGATATCCTGCTATGTCGAGAATTAAAGAAAAACTCGGACAACATTAAATCTATGGCATATAATACATAAATATGTCATTTAACTTGGACTCAACTCAAATCTATGCCCTCTAGTTTTGGATGTGCACAAAAAGATACTAAAACTTGAAAAAAAAAAAAACAAATAGATACATTCATCCTATATGCTGTCCTACATGACAATTTTTCGTCATATGTGGTGTCCTACGTGTATTATGTTACATAAGACGTGTGTGTCTTCTTATTCTCTATCTAACTCACTTGTACTTTTTCACATTTTCCTATGGGGGCTTTGTTTCATTGTTCTTATTGTAAAATTTTCATTGAAATTGCTCCAGTTTCGATGATGATTTTCTTTTCATGTTGACTTTTCATATCGCTCCGACTTCTCTCCTTCGGCCTTCCCTTCCTCCTCATTAGACGAGTTTGTGGGAATGCAATCCAACAAGTAAATCCATCCAGGGTTAGGTAGAACAGAGGAACTTTCTCCGAATTGATCGGTTGATATTCCATTTGCATCATCATTTAGGACTTTCTCATGACCTCTTTTTCATAATGCTCTTCCTTATGTCCCATGGCTTTACGAGGAAAAAAATAACAAAGAACGTCATAAGTAAATTAACTTAATTTCTAATAAACAAAAAAATTATTTCTACATATAAAGATATTCATCATTTTATCAATCCGTACAAGGTAATGTGAACTACATATATTCTTGGGTAAATCTTTACAAACTTATAACAATGTTAAGTTTTGTATCAATTGTCACAAAACGCAACCTCGCGCAAAATTCTAGATCCGCTTTTGTTTAGCTCTCCTCTAGTGCTTTTAAATTTTAAAAAAATCATAAATCCATAAAAAAATAAAATGGTTTAAACATTTCAATACCTATATCAGTAGAG